CTGAAGTTGATCTGTTTCATTCCATGGGCTTTTCATGTTGGCATTTTTTACATTTTTTTTTTTTCTTTTTTTTTTCTTTCCCTTTTTTTTTTTTTTTTTTTGAGACAGGGTCTCCCTGTAGCCCCAGCTGGCCTGGAACTCGCTCTATAGATCAGGCTGGCCTTGAACTCACAGAGGTCCACCTGCCTCCACCTGCTGGGATTAAAGGTATGCATCACCACGCCTGGCTGTGTTTGCTTCTATAATGGATTAGTGTAATTCACATTATGTCAGACATGGTGTCACACGCCTTTAATCCCAGCTCTTCAGAGGCAGAGGCAGGCAGATCTCTGCGAGTTCAAGGTCAGTCTGGTCTACATAGCAAGTTCCATGCCAGCTGGGGCTATAGGGAGCCCCTGTCTGAAACTCCCTCCGTCTTCCTCCCAGTATTTCACATTGCTAGCTGTTCAGTTGTGGCCCAGATACTTCTCTCTGTGGCAGCCTCGTTGAGTTGGCTGTGGGTACAGCATGGCTGCCTGGGTGTCCTGCACTGGGACACAGCCCTGTGAGGATGGGGCATGGACTGTGGCATGACCTCTGGAAGCAAGTTGCCAGCTGCATGTAACAGAATCGTCTGCCAGCTCCTCTGCCTGGGATGTGTCTATTTGCGTCTATATAGGCTGCTGATGAAGAAGCCCGTGCTGAGAAGAAAGTTACACAGACTTGGCTCGTGGCTTTGTAACATGCTTGGTTCTATAATTTGAGCTGAACTGAATGCAGGTGCCTATTTGATGAATGCACTTTTTCTGTATATTATTTTGTTGTTAGAGTAAAAGTAATAGATGGCTGGGACTGAACTCAGGTAGAAACACTCATCTAGTGTGGAGGGAAGCTGTAGGTGTCACCTGTAGCACCACAAAAATAAAGTAAAATAAAAATGCAAATAAAGCAGTACAACAAAACCCCGCAACAACATAGATTAAATGTGATGTATAAGTTGGAAGGTCCGCCCACAGGGAGGTGGATGCCAGTTTGCTGCAGCAGCAGAGGCCACACTTCTACACACTAAATGGATGCCCAGTGCCAGCAACTGACCTTCTCTTTTGAAGGTATAATTATAAACTGAAACATTTTCCTTTTTCCTGGGTAAGTTTAAAAAAAATGATCTGGGACCCGCATGGTGGTGTGCCTTTAATTCCAGCACTTGGGAGGCAGAGGCAGGTGGATCTCTGTGAGATGGAGGCCAGCCTGGTCTACATAGCGAGTTCTAGGCTAACTGGGGGCTACAGGGAGACCCTGTTGTAAAAAAATAACAACAACAAAAAACCAAACGAAAAAATTCCCTGATCTGATTTGGTTTTCTTCTATCTGTTGAAATAACAGCAGGTGTGCGTTTCTCTGTGTGGTTTGGTTTTCAACAGGTCCTGCAGTGGGCAAGAGGCCACATCAAGTATGGAGTTCTTCACATTCATGGCTTATACACAGACCCCTGTGGGATGGTGTTGGATCCATCAGGATATAAAGATGTCACTCAAGACCCAGAAGTAATGGTACGTATGGTTGGTCTGTCTTCTTGGGGCTTTGGTTGTCTGTTCTGGGGAGTTGCTGGCACCAGCCATTCCCAGGCATTCTGGCCCTCTGGGGACAGGACCACACTCTACTGCTTAGCTATGGCCCTGTGTGGTACCTGCAGTTTGAAAAGATGCTCAGCGCCCATTTGTTCAGAGAGGAAGTGTGTGTGCCCTCGGGAAGCACAACTCTTCCCTCTTGGTGCCAGCACCAGCCGGCCATGACGCTCTCACCCAGGGATTTGGTAGAAGTGTCTGGTTGATGGCTTGTGGTCTGTGGCATTCCTCTCTGGTTCCCTGCTTGTGCCCCCTGTACCAGGCATCTTCCCAGCTGCAGTACTACCCCTTCACACAGCAGTTGCTTCAGCCTTCCAAAGCCAGCTCTAATCAGAGTCTGGGAATGTAGCTCAGCAGCCAAGCTCCTGCCTATCTTGTGCAGGTCTTTAGTTCCTTCCCCAGCACTGCAGATAAAGCAAGGCACTTCATTCACTCACAAAAGCTCACCCACCCTTTCCCATGAGGGGATTCATCCCACTACCATCAGATTCCAGGGTGTTGTATGAGTACAATTCTGAGCTGAGAGATTTCCTTCCTTAATTTTTTTTTTTTTTTTTTTTTTTTTTGAGACAGGGTTTCCCTGTAGCCCCAGTTGGCCTGGAACTCACTGTGTAAAGTAGGCTGGCCTTGAACTGCCTGTCTCTGCCTCCCAAGTGCTGAGATTAAAGGTGTGCATTACCATGCCCACTTTCTTTCCTTAAAATTTAATTAGTTTATTTTTATGTATATGAGCGTTTTACCAATACCTGCAAAGGCAGAAGAGAGTGATTGAGCCACATATGGGTGCTGGGAACTGAACTCAGGTCCTCTGCATGAATTTCAGGTGCCCTTAACTGCTGAGCCTTCTGTCCAGTGCCACCTCTATGGTGAGCCATAAGTCTACCATATGCCGTCTTCCTGTAAGGTGCATTTATGCTCCCACACTGGCTAGTACCCTGGCTCTGCCAGCTCCCCTCCTCATCCTGGTTGAGAGGTGGATTACTTTTGGTAATTACTCCATACAGATCACTGCATGGCGTTCACAGGGCCTTTCTGCAATGTTCCTCAGGATGGCTCTTGGGAAAGCCTGTGGTGCAGGATAGGCTATAAAAGCACGTCAGTGACCGAATTGGCCATGAGCCCTGCTGTTTCACAGAGCTATCTGTCTTTGCTGGCTTTCCACAGGAAGTCCTACAAAACCTGTACCGCACCAAGTCGTTTCTGTTTGTGGGCTGTGGAGAGACCCTCCGAGACCAGATATTCCAAGCTCTCTTCCTGTACTCGGTGCCAAATAAGGTGGACTTAGAGCATTACATGGTGGTGCTCAAGGAAAATGAAGACCATTTCTTTAAGCATCAAGCAGATATGCTTCTGCATGGGATTAAAGTTGTGTCGTATGGGGACTGCTTTGACCATTTCCCAGGATACGTGCAAGACCTTGCCACTCAGATCTGCAAGCAGCAAAGTCCAGGTGTGGAGTTTTGCTTTTACTTTCTGAGCACAGAATTCATGGGCTGCTGCTTGTTGTCCCCTTGGGAGATAAAATTTAATACCATAAAATTTACCAATCTTTTTTTTTTTAATGCCTCTGTAATTTAAAAGTAGCAAATTGGGTGAGAGCACAATAGTGATAGTCTGTAAATAGAACTTTGAGTCATGCCCATAGATGTGAACACCTTTATTCATGTTTGTTTACCTTGGCCAAGGAAAGCTATCAGGGCAGTTTTATCGGTTGCGGCACTTAAACCTTAATTGTGCAGATGTTGCATGCCTTTATTGTCACTGTGTTTTCAAAGTTAAAACCGGAAAAGCACAGAAGAAGCATATGATGGCTTCCATTTCTCCTCAAAGCACATCTTCTCTGTTGCAAGGACCTCTGATTCGCCCCTTGCCTTTCTGGACAAGCCCCCATGTGCCAGGAACGACCAAATCATTGTGGGATTCTGACGTAATTGCTTTTACATGAGGAAAATTAATGGCTTTGAATTCTGTGTCATAAAACATGGATGACAAAGCACGCAAAGTTCTGTATTGATTGTCCTGTCATGGTAATAGGAAACCCACACACACCCACACATGGAAGAATGAGGTTAGCACAGAGCCCAGCGAGGAATGCTTGCGTGAACAGTCACAGCCTCATGTTTCTACCACTGGCGCTTTCTTAGGGTTGCTGATGATAGCGGAATGGGCTGATTTAAATGCTAGGAGCAGAAGCATAATTTAGGCAGTAGTCTGTTTCTTACTAGGAACAGGAGCAAAGATTGCATGTTTTAGAGCTGTGTCACTACCACAAACTTTACATTCTTGCCCTTATTTTATCAGCATCCACTGCTACCTAGATGATTTTAGAGGTGATTCCACCTCAGAGAGGTGAATAATTTGCCTAGTGAGCTGGAATTTGATCCTGGCCTAGCAGACTAAAACATCCTGGTACCAGTCGTGTGTGGGGGTCTGCAGACCCCTCACCCTGCTCTCACCTCTCCTGCCTCCCCAGCCAGGACTCCTGGGAAGAGCAGCATCCAGCCAGGGAGCACGGGCTCCTAGAATAGGCGCTGAGCCACATGTCCCGATTGATGCCCCTTTTCTAGGACCTGGGAGCTGAATAGACTGAAAGGTGGCTGAGGTTTTTAGTCTGGTGCTGACATGAAGGAGGTTTGTTTGTACTCTCCTGGTGGGGGGACGCCTGCTGCCTGAGAGTCAGCACAGCTGCAGTGCAGTTTGCAAGCCTGCACCCGCCAGCTCTAGGCAGCTTCACAAGGCTGTGCTCAGAGACATGCGCCCCTCCTACAGTGAAGTGACTGATGCAGGGCTCCATGGCTGCCATGTGCTGCAGTCAGCATAGAAGCCCGTTGCCCGCCACTGACGGCCTCAGGGTGCTCTCTGCCGTTGTCCACTGGCCTAAGAAGAGTGCTCCAAGTCTTGGTTCCGCTGACTGATTTTCTTTCCTCCCTAGATGCTGAGCGAGTGGACAGCACCACCTTATTGGGTAAAGCAGATCTTTACTTCTATCTGCCTGGTTTTTGCTTCCATGTTCTATTTTTATCACTGTTAGTAAAACCGTGAAAGTGTTTCTCACATTTAATAGCCTTATTATGCAGCACCAGAGAGGCTAGACAGTACTGCCTTCCGATGGTCCCTGCTGCAGTAAAGGCTCAAAGCCCATCCCGTCTCCTGGGAGGCACAGGCTAGTCATGGACTATCTGCTGACACCTGGGATGATTTCTGTCCTAGATTACAGGGAATTGGAGCAGTGTTCTACTTGGATTACAGCATTCTTGCATACCCAGAGTGTTCTGTCCCTTACATGCAGAGTGCCCTATCCTTTACATGTAGACATCTAAGCTTTCATGTAATTCTTTCTTTTAATACGTGTTTGAATGTGAATGTTCGTCCTGGGCTTGCTATTGCCAGTTCGTGAATCAGTATGACTCAGCAGCTGCCAGCACCCTCCAGTGGGAAAACTGGGCAGGAGCTCCACTGCCTGAGTCAGGTGGGCTAGACGGGGCGCTAGCCACTGATCAGGAGCCTCTGTGCATCTCCGCTGCTGTTGCTGCCTGTCAAGCCAGTGTCTCTGTATGTAGGACAGGGCTTGTCATTGTGGGGACAGCTGAAGCCAGTCTGTGAAGTGGTGGAAGTGGCTTGGGAGGAGCTGTAGGAGCTGCCCTCCGTGGCCACAGGGAAGGATGTTTGGGCCATAGTTTTTCTTCTTCTTTCTTTGTTAGTTTTTTTTTCCCCTCGAATATGATTCTAGAATAATAATTTTCTTTTGAAAGCATCAGTAACTCGATTGATAAAATATGCAGTCTATATATGGGGCTGAAGAGATGGCTCAGTGGTTAAGAGCACTGACTGCTCTTGCAGAGGACCTGGGTTCGATTCTCAGCACCCACATGGCGGCTACGAACCATCCTTAATACCAGTTCCAGGGGAATCTGAAGCCCTCTTCTGACCTCTGCAGCAGTGCACAACATGGGTGCACTCACATACATACAGGCAATACACTCATACACATAAAATTTAAAAAAAAATGCAGTATATAAAAAAATGCAGTATATAACAGGGAAACTTTGGCCAGTGGTTCAGAAAGATCAGCCTTAGAAACTGGCTGCTGGGAGGGTAGACTCTTGAACAGTGTCTCAATTACATTTCCTTACAGTGACAAAATACTTGAGTCACGATTTCTCTTGGTGCTCAGTTTCAGAGGTTTCAGCCTGTAGTCACTTACTTGGCTGTCTTGCTTTTGGCCTCTGCATGGTGAGGCATAGCGTCATGAGGGGGTGCTTATAATGGAGCACAGTGGCAGACAGGAGACAGGGGGTCAGGGACAAGGTAAATTCTTCAAAAGCATGTTCCAATGACCTGTGTCCTCCAACCAGATCTCACCTAATAGCCCATTCAGTAAATATCAGTGGATTAGCCTGTTAGTGTCAGCACTTTGTGGTCCAGTCACCTCTCAGGAGTACCACCAGCAGGGTACCAAGCCTCCAACACCTGAGTCTTTTTGGAGTAGACACTTTCATATCAAACATTCTACTTCTGGTCTTCAAAGGGTTAATGTCCAACTCATAATTTGGTGTATTTAGTCTATTTCCAAGAGTCCCTGTAAATGTTATTTTTTTAAAACATTATTTGAATTTTTTGTGTGTGTATGAGTGTATTGCCAGCATGTCATGCAATGCCCTTGGAGGTCAGAAGAGGGTGTTGGATCCCCTGGAACTGGAGTTACAGACAGTTATTAGCTACCATATGGGTGCTGGGAACCGAACTGGGTCCTCTGCAAGAGCAGCCAGTGCTCTTAACCTCTGGCTCCGAGACCCCATAGTTGTAACACCATTGCTAAACAATTCCGTTTAGGCTTGTGGTCGTGGTACAGTTGGTGTGGGGTTTGAGGCATGAGGAGTATGTGTTCAAGGTCAGCCTTGAACAGAAGTGAGTTGCAGGCCAACGTGGACAATGTAGTGAGACCATCTCAAAGAACAAAGCAAAATGAAAGGTTAAATCTAGATTCTCTTCTGACAGGTGAGGCAACTCCTAGCTGTGAGTCCCTATAACAATCAAAAATGAAAATGTACAAACTCCAGCGTACAGGTGGCAGAATAAACACTCATTGTTCCAAAAGGAAGGAATCGGGTAATGAAAAGGAGGGATTAGACAAAGCAAGATCCAAACCCAGCAGGGCAAACAGTAAGTCCTAGAAGTCCGTGTCTGACACCTTGGGCATGTATTGGTGAGGTTGACAGAGTTGGCCTAGGCAGCTTCAGTCCTGTGGCCTTGCCGGCTGCAGCTCTTGGCCTCTCCTGGGCTGGCACTGCGCCTTGCCTGCAGCTTTCGTGGGCATACAGTCCACATTCCTGGCATCTGGCTTTCTGGGGTGCATTACAGCTTCGGCTTTGTTCACAGCTTCAGGCATCCACCTGTCAGTGGTGAGGGACCCCGACTTCACACACTGCCTGGGCTCTCAGGCTGCCCCTCTTAATTGGGATGGAAGCCCCCATGACCCCACAATTCTTGAATTCTGTGTTCCTATAAAATCAGACACCAAGGACTCCGTAGGGTCCATGATCGCAGTGGCCTCTGCACACCTGTGTGGCGAGTGAGGTTCACCTGTAACCCTGAGCAAGCAGGGAGCCCTTGAACTCTTGGAGCTCATTTCCCAAAACAAAGTTGAGTGTGCACCTCCACCCCTACATTGTGATGGGCGGGGCCCAGCTGATTGCTCAGAGGCCATCAAGGCATTGTTCCTGTTGAATTGTGCAAAAGCGATCTTAGTAAGCAGCCGCCCTTTCCTCCACCGAACCTTGAACTGCAAAGTTTTCAAATTCTCTCTCCTTTGCCTTCAGTTCTCACTGGCTGAAAGCAGCCAGCAACAGCCGGACCACAGCCTGAACACTAGCTTTGTGGTATCCTCTGCCAGAGTGTCCTTCACACTTAAATTCAGCCTTCCTTGGGTCTGAGGGTGTGGGTAAAATGTAGACAATTGTTTCGCTCGTATGTGGCATGAATGGCCTCTAGTCTAGTCATGCAGAGACCTCATTTCCACTTGGAGCTTGTGAGCACCTGCAAACAGGTTTCCACCAGCGTCCTGGGCTTCTGTACTCCCTGAATTCCTAAGCTATTTCAGGCCTGCTTCTCCAAACTTTTCCAAATTTCTCTTCTGAAACACATAGATATAATAATGACCCCACTTGCCAGGTATGGTGGTGCATGCCTTTAATCCCAGCACTCGGGAGGCAGAGGCAGGTGGATCTCTGTGAGTTCAAGGCTAGCTTGGTCTACATAGTGAGTTCCAGGCCAGCTGGGGCTACAGGGAGACCCTATCTCAAAAAGAACAATGAAATGACCCCACTTGTTGGTACCAGTGTCCCTGTCCCTCCCCTGGTTACAAAGTACTTGAGACAAGCAACTTAAAAGGAACACTTTGGCTCTTGGACTTGAGTCCTTGGTCATCGGCTCCATTGTTTCTGGACCTGTGATAAGGCAGAAACTAGGCAGAAGAAAGTGGCCTACTCACGTTAGAGTGGGGGTGGACTAGAAGGAATGCAAGAGGGCCTGCCCCTCCTCCAGCCAGGCCCCACCCCTGGACTTCTGCCATTTCTCAGTAGTATCATCACTTTGTGAATCCATCCAAGTGGGAGTCCTCCCAGCCTAACTTCTGCATACCGTTCTGGGGGCCAGGCCTTTAAGCCATGAGGCTTTGAGGATACTGCATATCTGCACTGAAATCATGCTGTTTTGCACCTTTTGTTACAGAAAATTTCAAGGAAGTACAAGGACAGTAGGTGCTCCAACCCCTCCGCCACCCACCAGCTCCCTCATGTTGCCCATTTTTCTCCTGGATTAAATTTTTATTTTCTTGATTTTTGTTTCTTACAAACTTATTCAAATTTTTAAAATAAAGTTTGAATAAAAGTTTTTATTTTTTAGGTAATGCATGTCAGGATTGTGCAAAGAGGAAGTTGGAAGAGAACGGAATTGAAGTTTCAAAAAAAATCAGACAATCAGATACGGGTATGATGATGCTCTTTTGTGGGGGCATGTCTCAGATTTGTCTTGTTGGTAGGTGTCTATGACTGCTTTGTTTAGTGCCCTTCCTGGTGCCTTGGGGAGGAGTGGCACATGCCTCATCTAGAATCAGCAGATGTTTAGAGTGGAACCTAACCTTTCACACTACTGACCACAGCTATTTTTTTCCTTCTTTCAAAATTTCTAAGTGATGTAATTGAAGGAAAATAAGAAAACACACAGATTGTAGAGTCAGCCCGATGAATTTTCAGGAGGAAAGACACTCACTTGGCTGTGCCCAGGTCAACAGATGGACCATTCTAACAGCACCAGCACGAAGGTGCCCACATTAGTCTTTAGGGAAAATCACCTCCAGTTCTTGCTTTCTGTTGTCTCTACCACCAGGATTTATTTAAACTTGTGACATTTCTTTGAACTGTTCATTTCTGTTGACTAGGAAAGGTGATGGCTGTGCCCATTCTGTCCCACCCTCTTCCCTTCTGCAGGTTCAGTGTCTGTATTTCTAGTTGTGTAGGATGGGAAGCCAGACAAGCAGCTGACTGGGCTCTTCCCCTCCCCACCTCACTCCTCAGCTCCAGCTTTAACATTGCCAGTGTGGAAGCTCTATTCAGCACAGAGAGGAGTAAGGCCTTTGCACAGTGCAGGCTGAGTCTAAAGATGGAAAATAGCATTACTAAGTGTTGCTATTCTTTGCTTTCACCTTGCTTGTACATAGCGCTTTTGAGCTGAAGGCTGTGTGCTCACTAGCAGTGGAACAGTGTGTATTCTGGGTATCCCACAGTATTTTTTATTTCACGTTAGCACCTTGATGGTTTCTTCTTTCTGTCTTCTGTACTCGTGTTGGGATTCGTGCTGGTTGGAGTCTCTTGGATTGGTTTCCGTTGGTTTCCTCTATTGCGTCTTAATTTTCATTTTCAATCTCCATTAAAAAAAAAAAAAAAACTCTGGGAGGTTTTAAAACTTACGTTTTGGTCCTTGGGTTAACTTTTTATTCTTGTTGACTGTATGGTGCTGGGGATACAAGCCAGGGCCTAGTTAGTACTAGGCAAGTGCTCTACCTAAGCTACGTTTTCAGCACCTGAATTGATATTTTAACAGTGTGATCGCAGATTTTCAGAGCCCTCTCTAACGTGCCTGTGCTCCCAGCAGCTGTTCGGCACTGTGATGAGATTTTCACATCTTCACCCTGGTGTTTGATGCCACGTCGTTCCTGAAAGCACTAGATTCAGATTATAGACTTTTTCTACAATTTATATAAGAAAATCTCAGGCTGGGCATGGTTGCACACGCCTTTAATCCAGCATCTGGGAGGCAGAGGCAGGCAGACCTCTGGTCTACATAGTAAGTTCCAGGTACCTGGGGCTACCAGGAGACTGTCTCAAAGAGACCAAAAAAAAGAAAGAAAATTTCAGGCTTGGAACATGCCTGTAATCCATCCCAGCACATGGGAGGCTGAGGCAGAAGGACCATGAGTTTGAGGCTAGCTTGGGTTACATAAGGCGCTCTTGCCTCAAAAACAGAAAGAAAAGTATTTTTTTTAAAAATTATTTTTTTTTTTTTTTTTGGTCTTTTTGAGACAGGGTCTCCCTGTAGCCCCAGCTGGCCTGGATTCGCTATGGAGATCATGCTGGCCTCGAACTCACAGATACTCACCTGCCTCTGCCTCCTGAGTGCTGGGATTAAAGGTGTGCACTACCATGCCCAGATAGTCTTTTTGTTTTATGTGTATGAGTGTATTGCCTGCATGTAGGTAAGTACACCCGTATTGTGCAGTGCCCATGGAGGTCAGAAGAGACTGTCGGATCCCCTGGAACTAGAGTTACAGACAGTTGTTAGCTGCCATGTGGGTGCTGGGATTCGAACCCGGGTCTTCTGCAAGATTGGTGTTCTTAACTACTGAGCCATCTCTCCAGCCCCAGAAAGATACCTTTTTTTTTTTTTTTTTTTTTTTTTTTTTGTCTTTTTGAGGCCGGGTCTCCCTGTAGCCCCAGCTGTCCTAGAACTCACTATGTAGACCAGGCTGGCCCAACTCACAAAGATCCACCTGCGTCTTCCTCCCAAGTGCTGGGATTAAAGGCATGCGCCACCACGCCTGACCTCAGAAAAGTACTTTTAAACAGCTCTATTACCAAGAAATTTCCAGAGCTTTGAAACATTCAGCATACCAGTAACTTACTCAGCATTTAAAGTCATCCCTTAGTGGGTGTGTTTGAACAGTACTGCGGCATAGCTGGTATATTCTTAACATGAAATCCTCCCAAATTGAAACTTTTTTGGTGCTCTAAAGTTTTGGATTTGGGGGCCTGGAGAGATGACTCAGCAGTTAAAGCCCTTGCTGCCCTCGCAGAGGACCTGCATTCATTTCCCAGCATGCAGGTCAGGTAGTTCCCAACCACCTGTAACCCCAGGGACTCCAGTGCAGGCACCTCTATACCTCCCTCCCTCCCTCTCTCCCTCCCTCCCACTCACTCACACTCTCACTCACTCACTCACTCACTCACTCACTCCTTTTATTAGGGATGCTCAGTCCCTTAAAGTCCATGCAAAGATTTCAAAATCCAAAACCTCAGAAGTCTGAAGTGCTTCTGGGTGCCAAGCATTTTAGGTGAGGGTTACTCTATCTCAGCTTGTACTACATTCCAGAAACCTGAGCTGGTGACGTCCTCTGTTACAAAGATTCATGGGGGATGTTGAGAATCTAGTAAAATGAAACTAGCCAATTTTAATGAAGTTACCTGCAGTGTGGCTTGTTGTGCAAGTTAGGATGGGTGGAAGAGCCCAGAGGCTGCATTCGTCCTCTCGAGAGGCATGTGAAGTGAGACTAAGTTGAGGTCCTTCTGGGAGAATGCCAGCACAGCTGCTGCAGAACCTGCACATCTCCTTGAGGGTTTGTATGGAACTTGAGTGCACGCGGAGCTGTATCTCTCCAGGGAAAATGCAGCTTTGGTTGTGTGTGGATAAAACCCTTTGCAGTCTTTCACTGGGGTTGTGCTCTTAGCTAGGGCATCTGTAACAAACTCCCTTGCCTCTGATCAGGTAGCTCTTTCTGCTGGTCGCTTTCCTGTCCTGGTTTTCCTCACGTGTTGGCCTCCCACACTGGTGGTCTGTGAGGTTTAAGAAGGCTGCAGTAGTTGTGGGCTTGCTTTCTGCGTCACCTGTGCACATGGAGGCTTTGCTCCAGCTCCTCTGAATGCTGTTTGTTCAGATGCCAGTGTCTCCTGCACGGTAGACACTGCTGGAGAGCAGTGGGCCAGGGCTACCCTTTGATGCCCAGTAAGAGCTTTGCCTCTGGGTAATAGCAACGTTATCAGCCTTGCCTCGCCCTCTTCTCCAGCCATGTCTGCTCGGGGCAGTGCCTCTGGTCTCTGATGCGCAGAAAGCCTTGGCCTGTTTTGCACATGGACAGAAAGGCCCAGAGCCACCTTCCTAGTCCTGCTGTCCACACCTGTAGCCTGAAGATCCCGAGGAATGGATCGACTCTACTTGGGAGTCCTGTGTGCTCTGAGCCTTCACTTCTTTCTTCACGTCCATGATCCTGCTGCCTGTGTGCTAAGACGGTGCTCTTCAGTCTACCAGAAAATAGCACCAGTGCTTGTGGGCTATTTCCACAGATCTTTACAAACCGTCATATTCATCTGCTCCTTGGTGGTATTTGTATACAGCTCTGCAAGGCCATTTATACACAGTTGCTGCTGTTTCCATTATGGAAGGTTCTCAAAGTCTTTAGCACATAAGAAACATTGTGAGATGGTTTCTAAACCAAAAATACTATTGTAAATACTACTATAAATACATGGGGGGGGGGTTGGCTTAACATTTAACATTTTGGCATTTCTTTTGTTTAAACAGATGATGCTGGAGGGTCTTGAAAACTTTAGCTAAAGCCTGAAAGTTGAAAACCAGCCTTCTGTAACCACAGTGCCATGCCCAAGCAATGAGGAATGTACAGAGGACTCCATATAGATCTCAGTCCTAAAATGCCACATACCCCAAGACAGCCATGTGGGTGTGTGGCCCTCGAGGTTGAATGACAGCTCCACTGTATATGTTTAGCTGCTCAGGAGGTGACATGGACACACTTCAGATATACTCTGTAGGGACTAATGGTCAGCTACCTCAGGGACCAAATTGGGGTCGGGACTGGTGGGGTGTACCTGACATTGTTTCCTGTTCCCATTGGAATGCTGTCCCTCATCGGAGTGTTATTTCCCCAATAAAAGGGCCAGAGTGAAAGATTGTCCACGCAACAGAGTTGCCAAAGAGCAAAGACTTCGACGTTTATGTGTCATACCTTAGTGGAAACATCTTTTACTGTAGAAAAACTTTGGAGGATGCATTGTTACATTGTTAAATAGTAAATAAATGGATAGCAGCACACTGACTCCATCAGTAGAGATGGATGACCAGAGCAATAGAGTTTCTTTGGAATGACAACATTTTAGTCATTTCTGTTCCAAAGAAATGGCAGGCCTTTCTGTTGTGAGGTCCAGAGAGCCAGAGGACCTTTCCAGAAGGGCTTCAATGTTGTTCAAACCCACGATGTGTCTTATAAGCTAAGAAAGTAAAAGCGAAGCATAAGATGAGGCTTTAAACTTTCAGTTAGGTTTTAAGTTCCAAGTTTTCCATGTTTTCTTTAGGGTTAGGTCCAGCCTTTCTGTCCTGTCTCTTCAGATTCTCTTCCCACAGTTCATACTAGGGATGTACATGCAGTGAGGTCGGCAAAACTTGCAAAAGGCCTGCCACATTCTAAATGCTTTCAGACCATGCCTGTTTAGAAGCACCTTGCTCAGTGTATGTACCACATATGCCCAGAGTTCATGACATGCGGTGAGGGTTACTAAAAGGAAGGCTTCTTTTTTGAAACAAGCCCTGCATGGTTCTGTTGAGGCTGCCCATCTGATAGGACATTTCTTGCCAAGCCCTCTGCCTGTGACAATGCCTGGATGGCACCGTAGCTTCCAAGGGTACAGGAGGAAAGAACAGGAAACAGGCTGAGCCATAGAAGGAATGAGGGAGAAACCAGAGGCATGCTGAAGATCTCTCCCCTTTCTAAGTGTGGAAAGTAAACCTTATGTGACTTGGTTATAATAAAATCTTAAAGTCAACTCTGTGTACTCAATTTTTTAGTTATTGACAAGATTTGGTATGTTTGAGAATTTTTAGCTCGAGTTGCCACTGAACTGTGAAATCAAGCAAAATGATTACTGTGTGGTGGCGCACACCTTTGATCCCAGCACTTGGGAGGCAGAGGCAGGTGGATCTTTGTGAGTTCGAGGCCAGCCTGGTCTACATGGTGAGTTCCAGGACAGCTAGGGCTACAGAGAGACCCTGTCTCAAAAAGACCAAAATAAGAGTATGAGTGTATTGCCAGCATGTATCTAAGTGCACCTGTGTTGTGCAATGCTCGTGGGGTTCAGAAGAGGGTGTTGGATGCCCTGAAACTGGATTCTGCTGTGTGGGTGCTGGGAACCAAACCCAGGTCCTCTACCAGAGCAGCCAGTGTTCTTAACGGCTGAGCACCTCCCCAGCTCTGTTATTTGGCACATTTTAAGTAGCTATATGAGTGCTTACCTACCTCGCCGCCTCACCGAAGCCAGAAGCATTTACTGTGATCACTCAAGAAGTCTGATCCCTATTCTACATGGATGTTGTTGATGGAGTGGAGAATCCTGAGTTTCACACCCTGCAGCTCTCCAAGGCTCAGCAGCTCTCTAGTTCCCCACATGCATTACAAGCCCCACCCACAGTAGACTGAGCTTCAGAGAGACTCTTCCCCACTTCTTCCACAAGTCAGCAGCATGGCTCTTTCAGGGTAAATCAGCCTATGAGTCAGTGTGTGCATATATGTGTGTGTGTGTGTATATATAGCTCAACCATTTATACGTATAAAATCAGTTATTGTTTTTGTTTGGGAGGTGTGGTTTGAATAAAAATGTCCCCCATAGGCTCCAAGTATTTGGACATTTTGTCCCCAGATGATGGCACCGTTTTGGGAGGTTTTAGAAGGTGTGGCTATCCTGGAGGAGGCACATCACTGGGGTTGGGCTTAGAGAGTTCTTAAGCCTTGACAGATCTCCAGTCAGTCTCTGCTTCCTGTGCCTGCGTGATGATGTGAGAGCTTTGCTTCTGCTCCTCCTCCAGCCACCATGCCTCCCTGCCATGATGGACTGTAATTCCCCTGGAACTGTAAGCTCAAATAAACTCTTCTATAAATTGCTTGGGTCAGTGTTTCTATCACAGCAACAGAAAAGTGACTAATACAGGAGGTATGATTCCCCAGTCAGTCTCCATCTTAGTCCTCCCCGCACCTCTGTGTCTCCTATACTTTTGAGACAAGGTCTCCCTGTAGCCCCAGCTGGCCTGGAACTCATTATGTAGACCAGACTGGCCTTGATCTCACAGAGATCTACCTGCTTTTGTCTCCTAAGTGCTGTAATTAAAAGTGTGTACCACTATACCTAGAGCCAATTTCTTATGTGTGTGTACGTGCGTGTGCCATGGCACATATGTGGAGGTCAGAGGACAATTTGCAGGAATAGGTTCTCTTGTCCTATGTAGACTGTGGAGATCTAACTCAGGTTGTCAGGCTTGGTGGCAGGCACCCTGACCCACTGAGCCATCTTGCCGGTCACCCAACCTTGGATTTAAAAAAAAAAAAATCATTTTTAAAAATCGTGTGTTTTGTGTGGCATGGTAGATTTCAAGAATGCAGGCATATTTTGTTTCAGAAGGACTGATTGCACACAAGGATCACCGCCATTGTCAATGCTGTCAGAATAAGAGGTAAGGAAGCACACTGCGCATATGCAGCCCTGGAAGAGCCTTTCAAGGGTGAGGAAGGAGTGGTGGAGAGCTAGTACAAGATATGGTTTCTACTGTCTAGTGAGCACTCACTGAGGAGCCATCCCTGGGGGAAGGACTCAACTGTTGTGACTCACTGCGCTAGGAAGGCAGAGCGCATTCTGTGTATGGGACACAACTGCTGCTCTCTTCAGGACACTGCTCCAGGGGTGGCACTTGACCTCTACAGAGGATCTGTTCTGCTTTGAAATGGAAATGAAGCTGTCCTGGAAGGTGCAACTTTTCCTTCCTCCCTGGAACAGCATTTACAAGAAGTCAGCTGTAACTTGGGAAAACTTTTGTTGTTCAATATGTTCTTAAGATAAATTATATTTAGAAAAATTCAGATTGTATTGAAGTAGACAATTCAATTTCACCACAAATTTTCTGCCTTGAAACCTTTGAAATTATTTTTATTCATATTTTCAGTACTGACATATATTCCCTCTGAAATATTTCCCATAAAAGCCAGGTTCATCAATTTACTAAACATACCATGACTAGTATATTTAGAAACTAATCAGGGCTGGGGATGGACTCAGTGTGGAGCCCTCACGCAAGGTCCTCAACACTACAAAAAACAAAACTCAATCAGCTGTTTCCCTTAAAGTGCAAGGCAAGACCAGAGTATGTGATACAGAATTCAAATCTTTTCTGACAAACTTATTTTAAAATGGAAGTTTAAATTGTGCTACCGAATCATATCCCCTACCTTAAAAAACAACCCAAAACACGTAGCTCATTCAAATGCTGTCATAGAAAACCTCTGTTGGAATGAGCCTGGATACCCTTAACTGAAGTGAGCTATGGCTTGTTTGACTAAAGCTATTACAACTTTTTCTTCATAGCACATGGGGCTGGTCCCGCTGCTCTGAGTTTGTTATCAGGAAACTAAACAGTGACTGGCCTGGCCTCCTCAGGGTCAGAGTATAGCTCCCACAGCCAGTGGCTGTTCAAGGAGACGCTTTTCTAACTGCGGGGGGACTGCGGGGACTGGGACTGTTGTGATGTCCTGGACTTCCGGGGTCTCCTGCTACCTTCTTGCTCTTCAGTGTCTGGATACTTTGAAAGATCTAGGGTCAGAACATGGCTGAACATGCACTCGTCGTACTGAAATGCAGAGAAGCAAGTTTGAGTCAGTTCCCCTGATTACAGAAAATATATTACTAAAGCAAAGTCATTTGTTAGTATTGATTTGCATTTAAAGGAATATCACTGAGGGCTGGAGAGATGCTCAGCGGTTCAGAGCACTGGCTGCTCTTGCAGAGAAGCCGGGTTCAATCCCCAGCACCCATGTGGCTGCTAACAACTGTCTATGACTCCAGCTCTAGGGGACTATGACGCCCTCTTCTGACCTCTGTGGGCACTGCACAACATGGGTGTACCTACACACATGTAGGCAATGCGTTCATACACATAAAAGACATCTTAAAGAAGTATATTGGATAAATGTACCATACTTTCCTTTCCATTCACATTCATCAGCTGATGGACAGCTACACCGTTTCCATTTCCTGACTATTGTGAATAGAGCCCCAATGGCGTCTCTGTAGCAGGATACAGAGTCCTTTGGGTAGATGCCCAAGGGTGGCATGGCTGCATCTGTGGCAGATCTATTTTTTATTTTTTTTAAAAAATTTAAAAATTTTGTGTATGCGTGTATTGCCTGTATGTAGGTAAGTGCACCCATGTCATGCAATGCCCACGGAGGTCAGAAGAGACTATCGGATCCCCTGGAACTAGAGTTAGGGACAGTTGTTAGCTGCCATGTGGGTGCTGGGATTTGCAACCAGGTCTTCTGCAAGAACAACCAGTGTTCTTAACCGCTGAGCCAGCTCTCCAGCCCCGGAAGGTCTACTTCTACTGATCCCATAGTGGCCACACCAGTCTGCACTCCCACCAGCAGAGTACTCTTTTCCCCACATCCTCACCAGCATTTGTCATCTTTTTTTTGGCTTAGCCATTCTGACTGCAGTAAGATGCAAATTAAAACAACTCTGAGATTTCATTTCCCTGATGGCTAATGATGCTGAACATTTAAAAATATTTCTTGTCAAGCTGGGCGTGGTGGCGCATGCCTTTAGTCCCAGCACTCGGGAGGCAGAGGCAGGCGGATCTCTGTGAGTTCAAGGCCAGCCTGGTCTACATAGTGAGTTCCAGGACAGCTGGGGCTACAGGGAGACCCTGTCTCAAAAAGACCAAAAAAATTTCTTAGCCATTCACATGTCCTCTTTTGAGAACTGTTTAGTTCTTTGCATGAATTTTTAGTTTGGTTGGGTTTTTTATGTTTAGTTTTTTTAGTTCTTTGTATAGTTTAGATACCTAGCCTCTGTCAGATGTATAGATGGTAAAGAATTTTTCCCATTTTGTAGGCTGCCTCTTCACTCAAATGATGGTGTCCTTTTCTGTACAGAAGACTTAATTTCATGAAGTCCCATTGGTTAATTGTTGCTCTTAATGCTTACATAATTGGGGTCCTGTTCTGAATCCCTGTCTTGTACCTGTAAGTTCTTGTGTATTCCCTACTTCCTCCTTGATCAGATTCAGGAGGACCAACAGGGCAGTTGTATATAGGAACCAACAGTGCTTATGTCAACATGTATAAGACCCATGCAAGCCCAAGCTAGACAAAATCCCAGCATGGATAGGGGAGGTGGGCAAGAAGCCTCAACACTAGCTGAGATCTATTGACAACTGATGAGGGAGTCATTTTTCTTCCAGGGTGTGATGCCAGGTAGGTTGACTAAGCTCAAGGAGATGGACCCACACCCATGAGCACAGCTGCCCTGGGTATGGGGGACACAACTTAGACTTGATAGGCCTTGCTATGATCTGACTCCACACGGAGGCCCTGACATTAGACATCTCCCACTCCCAAGCATGAAGAGGTTTCCATCATTTTTCTACTGCTCATCTACAGCCCAGGACGTCTTCACCTGTGCCCTACGAAAATGTAAACAGCCAACTGAACTTCTAGAGATAAAAATCACAGTCTGAGAAGTTAAAAAAACTATTTAAAAATGTTACCAATAAAAAATAATAGAGGGTGTGGAGTAGGGGAGGGTCGTAAGGTGGGGCTGCAGACCGGAGGAGTTCTGAATATAATCAAAATACATTGAATGAAATTCTCAATATTTCAACCAGGCGTGGTGGTGCACACCTTTAATCCCAGCACTTGGGAGGCAGAGCCAGGCAGATCTTTGTGAATTTGAGGCCAGCCTGGTCTACATAGCAAGTTCCATGCCAGCTGGGGTTAGAAAGACCTTGTTTCAAAAAGACAAAAAATAAATAAATTTTTTTTCAAAATGGGGTATCAATCATCCATGTTTGCACCAATAAATTAATTTCTATCTTAGGTCAAAGGAAAACTGCCCCAAAATAGAATGTCCTAAATTGTTGCTCTATTCCCTTAGCTCAGTTTTTTCTTAGTATGTTTTAAAAAAAAAATATGAGCAAGGTGTGGTGATGTATGCCTTTAATTGCAGCACTTGGGGGACAGAGGCTGGTGATCTCTGTGAGACCAAGGCCAGCCTGTTCCACATAATGAGTTCTAGGACAGCTGGGGCTACAGGGAGACTCTTTTCTCACAAACCAACTAAACAAAAGTATAGCTGGGCTTGGTGGTACATGCCTTTAATCCCAGCACTTGGGAGGCAGGGACAGGTGGATCTCTGTGAGATGGATGCCATCCTGGTCTATATAGCAAGTTCCAGGCCAGCTGGGGCTACAGAAAACCAAACCAAACAACAAAAAAGTGTGCACGCGCACATGTGCACACATGCCTGCCACAGTGCATATATGGAGGCCAGAAGACAAATTTGGGGAGTCACTTCTTTCTTTTACCTTGTGGTCTGGAGAACTGCACTCAGGTTGTCAGACTTTGCAGCAAGTGTTTACTGGCTGAGCAGTCTTGATGGCTTTAGCTCAGTTTCTGAGCTAAGTGCATGAATGGCTTTAAGACACTTTAAGACAGGTGTGTTAGACTGTGAAAATTACTGTACCACTTTGGAGCCTCTAATTTTCTTCCCTGATACAGCGTGTTCGTTTTTGCATAAAATATTCACACAGTACAGAAACATGAGACACAGTAACAGTCTGTTCTAGGTTAATGTATGCTACTATTTTGTAAAACAAAACTATCATACTGCCTATTTTCATTTATTACATTTATTTATTTTGAGAGAGACACAGACAGACAGAGAGAGACGGAGAGACAGAGAATTGGCTGGGGGACAGAAAAAGTCAGTTCTCCAACCGTGTGGATGAGGGGCTCAAACTCAGGTCGTCAGGCATGGCAGCAAGTGTCTGAACTTCCTGAGCCATCTCCCTGACCCATGCCCTACAGATTATTTTTAAAAACTGTTTTATTATTTTCATTTTGTGTATGAATGTTATGCCTGTATATGTGTAAATGCACCTGTATCATTCAGTACCTGTGAAGGTCAGAAGACAGCATCAGATCCCCTGGAACTAGAGTTATGGATGGTGTTAGCTGCCATGTGGGTGCTTGGAATTGAACCCGGGTCCTCTCTACAAGAGCAGCCAGTGCTCTTAACCTTTGAGCCATCTCTCCAGCCCCATGCCCTACAGTTTTTAATTTCCTTATACTTCAAATGTTTTAAATGTCTGTTCTGTCAAGGATAATATCTGAATAATGACTCATAAATCTTAACTTGTTTAAAAATCATTTTGCTTAAATTTATCACTATAGAAACCCAGGAGCGTCTTAGACTCTGTGGACTGTGACAGGATCAGAGGACTTTATGGGCCTCTCCTCCCGTGTCTCTTACCTCCGGGTAGATGCCTATCAGTGCCTCAGCTCTGGAGTAGAACTCTTCTTTCAAGGAAATGACTATCATCTGAAACTCTTGCTTAGTCTGCTCTTTGATGTAACTTGATACCTGGGAGGAAATAAAGAGCACTTTTCACCAGCAAGGCAAGGCCTCCTTTTGGGCTCTGATAATAACGGTTCTGCATGTTTCTTTTTCCTTTCTTTTAAATTAAAAAAATCACATTTGTTTATTCTGCATGTGGAGGTCAGAAGACAACCTGCAGGAGTCAGGTCTCTCTTACGGCGGGGATCCTGGGGATTGAACTCAGTTGTCAGGCTGGGTGGCAAGCACCTCACCCACTGAGGTATCCTTGAACTCTGGTTTTGCAAGTTTCTGTCTGCCTATTTTAGGTGGCTGGGCATTTGTTTGCCTTCCTTTGAATTCACTGAGTCTACTACAGTCACAGAAATAGAACTCTGATTCTAAAGTAGAAATACAAAATAGGGGCTGGAGAGATGGCTCAGCAGTTAAGAGTGTGTTCTGCTCTTGCAGAGGACCTAAGTTTGGGTCCCAGCACCCATTTCAGATGGCTCACAACTAACTGAAACTCCAATGCCAGGGGAATCCTACATACTCTTTTGGCCTCTGTAGGCACCTGCACTCATGTGCATAGACCCCTACCCAGGTATGCTTGTATGCAGTTGAAAATAAAATGTTTAGGGCTGGAGAGGTGACTGACTCAGGGCTAAGAGCACTTGTAGAGGACCTGGGTTTGGTTCTGTGTTACTCACTTTTCTGTTGCTGCGACAGAAACACTGACCAAAGCAATTTATAGAAGGAAGAGTTTATTTGACCTTGTGGGTCCAGGGGAATTACAGTCCGTCATGGCAGGGAGGCATGGTGGCAGAGGTAGCTGGAGCAGAAGCCACACCTTCTAAGACCTCCCAAAACAGCACCACCAACTGGGGACAAAATGTCCAAATACTTGCAGCCTATGGGGGACATTTTCATTCAAACCACCACAGATTCTAAGTAACCATCTGGTGGCTCACAACCACCTGTACAACTCCAGTTCCAGGGGATCTGATGCCCTCTTCTGGCCTCCACAAACACCTGCACACATGTGGTGCATATACATACATTTAGGTACATATACATATATATATAACATCTTTTTAAAAATAAATTTTATTTAAAAATTTTATTTATGAGTGTATTGCCTACATGTATGTAAGTGTACCTATGTCGTGCAATGCCCATGGAGGTCAGAAGAGGGTGTCAGATCCTCTGGAACTGGAGTTACAGATGGCTGTTAGCTGCCATGTAGGTGCTGGGAACTGAACCCAGGTCCTCTGCAAGAGCAGCCAATGTTCTTTTTTTTGTTTAATTTTAAAAATTTTATGTGTATGAGTGTATTGCATGCATGTATGCAAGTGCACCTGCATTGTGCAATGCCCATGGAGGACAGAAGAGGGTGTCAGATACTCTGGAACCGGAGTTACAGATGGTTGTTAGCTGCCATGTGGGTGCTGGGATTTGAACCCAGGTCTTTTGCTAGAACTGCCAGTGTTCTTAACCGCTGAGCCATCTCTCCAGCCCCCACATATAAAATTTTAAAAGAAGAGGAAGAAGAAAAAAAAACCCCTTTATTAAGCTAATGACCTAAAAACATAGAGTTTTGGGGCTAGGGAGATGGCTCTGTGGGTAAAAGTGTTTGCCATACAAGCCTGATTATGTGATCTCCAGAATTCACATTTAAAAAAAGCTGGATTTGGTGGTGTGCATCTGCAGTCCTAGCACAGTTACAGTGAGATGGGAGGAGAAGGAGACAGATCACTTTCAAGCTCCTGCACGAGCTAGCTTGGACTGTAAAGCACAGCAGCAGCAGCAGACACTAGAGAAACGCTGTTCAGTAAGGTGGAAGGCAAGAACCGACTCCTGAAAGTTGTCTGCTGACCACTTACATGCCTGTTTGTGTGAGCTCCCCACCCCCAAATAAAACCTGACAAGTTGGTTTGCTTGCTTCTGGGAATGGAATGCAGTGCCTCAGGAAGCATTCTATCACTGAAAACCTGAAAAGCTTATTTTAAATAAAGCTCTACCTTAAGATACTATGATGGGATTCTGCAGCCAGCCTTCTGAAGGAAAACGCCTCTCAGGCCCCCTCCCTATCCTCTAAGAAAAAAAGCTGCCCTCCACCTGACTCTGAAAATCCCCTTCATTGTTCAAACCCTTTCCTGGTTTCTGTTTACAATTACAATGGAAATGGTCTGGGGCAGAGAAGGAGAAACGTTCTGAGCTAGCCAATGACAGTATACTTGGTACATCTGTGTATGGTCTCTATGAAAATGATCTGGGGCAGAAGAGAGGACGTTCTGCCCCAGGTGAGACAGCCAATAACTGTATAGGTAAAGTCTCTGGAAATCAGCCCTAGATTGTTCCTTTCTTGACTATTCTGTGTATAGTTTCTATGGAAACCCCTGGCTTTGAGGTTTTTTTTGTGGTTTTTCTGCTTAAAAGCTCCGTGATTTCATGATTTCACTGTTCGGGGTTACAGGGCAGCTCCCGAGACTGTCTGCATCCTCAACTGGTTGGCCTCAATAAAGCGCTCCTTTTTACTGAGACTCAGAGTCCAGTCATTGTAGGGAATTTTACAGACACATAACACTTCGTAAGATAAAAAGTACTACTCGGATACCCTATGAGAGTGAAGGGAGCTGGTATTTATACTTCCAACTTATTTTGCTAACCCAAAGCCTAAAAATGGACAAAATGTGGCAATTATATGATTTCAAGCTTAAACGTAAACTACGGCTCCTCCAGGAAGCTCAATTCCAAGGAAATATGAGAAGTAAAATACTGAGTGTGGAGGCCCACACCTGTAACCCTAATACCTGGGAGAGGTAGAGGCAAGGAGGATCAACAACAGTTCAAGGCCATCCTCAGCTACATAGGGAGCTTGAGACTAGCCTGGGCTACAAGATACTATAGAAAAAACAACAACAAAAAAGCAAAATGAGGCGGGCGTGGTGGCACATGCCTTTAATCCCAGCACTTGGGAGGCAGAGGCAGGCAGATCTCTGTGAGTTTGAGGTCAGCCTGGTCTCCATAGTGAATCCAGGCCAACCAAAAAAACCCAAAACAAAATGAACAAACCACTTGTGATGGTTTGAATGAAAATGTCCCCCATAGGCTCCAAGTATCTGGACATTCTGTCCCCAGATGATGGTACTGTTTTGGGAGGCTTTAGAAGGTGTGGCTATCCTGGAGGAAGCGCATCACTGGGGATGGGCTTAGAGAATTTTAAGCCTTGCAGGATCTCCAGCCGCTCTCTTGCTTCCTGTGCCTTTGTGATGATGTGAGAGCTTCGCTTCTGCTGCTCCTCCAGACACCTCCAGCCACCATGCCTCCCTGCCATGATGGATTGTAATTCCCCTGGAACCGTAAGCTCAAATAAACTCTTCCTTCTATAAATGGCTTGGGTCAGTGTTTCTATCACAGCAACAGAAAAGTGACTAATATACCACTCAGAACTTAGATACAAGAGACACATCTAGTAACTATATTTGCCAGCTCCCTAGACTGCTTTGTGGGTCAGAGTATATTCTGGTCCTGACTGCTTCTGAGATCCAGGACAAACACAGGCTTCTGAAGTAGGAGCAGCAGCTCTGAGGAAGGACTGGAATGCCAGCTGAGGTGAGGGAGGGAAGCTGCTCTTGGCTAAGAGGCTACATCATGAAAGGATCTCTGCTATCAGAGGCCATGGTGGTAGCCATGACTCATGAATGAGAATGTTTTGGATTTGTGCTAGGAGCATGAGAGGAGGATACAAAATGTCCCCCAGGTAGTAAAAGCTTAGTCCCCAGCCTGTGGCACTAATGGAGAATGATTTTCTTCAAACTGAGCTTCCTGAAGGTCCCTTCTAGCGGTGGAGTCCAGCGGAAGGATGCTAGGTGAGTCAGCGTGAGGTACCTAAGCCCCTTCCTCTCTCTTTGCTTCCTGTGTCTGTCATGAAGGGGCTGCTTCTGCTCTGCTGTGCCCCACCATGGTATGTGGCCTCATCATAGGTCTAAGAGCAATGAACAACTGTTTGTGGACTGAAATCTCCACAATGGAGACAAATAGCTTTTTCAGGGTTCTGTGGCAGTAACAGAAAGCTGACTAACAGATGCAAAGAGCTTAGGGCACACATTCTGCTTCGAGTCCCTGATCATAGTGTTAGGCACCCTGTTCTCAAGAGGAAAGGTAAGCTATTCGTGCTTGTTCCTACTTACCTAACTGCTTAAAATTCAGCAGTAGAGTTGCCATAAATCTCAGCAGGATCATGGAAATGAGCAGGCTTTTGATAAATAGGCCAAATGCTAATACGAATCTGAAGTCAGACCTAGAAACTGGAGATGCTGCCACCAGTGTAAACATCTAGATCTTGCTAGAAGAATACCTTAAAATGTATTCAGGAAAAGGGGAAGTCACCAAGAGAGGTGTCCCCAACAATATGGGATGCAAAATGCCAAAATTAACCTGACAGGCTGCTCCCAAGGGGTCAGGCCACAGAATCCAGTCAGCTTACTACAATCCAAAACATCAAACATGACCTTTTGAGGCAGCAACAGTGGCTGCAGGGAGTACAGCCATCAGCTAAGGTGCACAGTGAGAGAAGTAAACCACTCTTGGCTAAGTTTAGTGCTGCTATTCAGAAAACAACCACGGTTCTCTCTTGTTGATCCATTTTCCCTTCCTTCCCCTGAACACCATGAAGCTTTTGGCAGACTTTCTGGGTGTAGAATTGAATATTCTTGTGTATCCATGTTGAAAAACTGTTCTTCCCCATGAATGTGGTTCAGATAAATGCATTTGTGCTAGGTTAGGAGCTCTTTAGGCTGCAGCTACTTAATGTTCACCAACTTGTGGGTACACTTCATGTGAGACTTAATTTGGAGGCACAGAACCTTCTGGGCAGCATTCCAGAATGGAAAACTTCTCAGTAGGCTTCTAACCAAACTCACAAGACTAAGTTATAAATCAGAGTGCCAATTTAAAACTACTGAGAAATATATCTGTCATCACAAACACAGTCATCTCCTGGTAAGCAGCTGTTATGCTAAGTCCAGGCATCCCTGGAAGACAATGGGCTTAGAACCAGAGCCAGGTGAGTCTGATCCATCCATATGCAAAATGGGTAGATGTCTGAGCTAGAGCTCTTCCCTCCCCTGGGCAGGGATGGGCACTGCCAGTGTTTGCCTCATTTAGACAGAAATGTTAGACAGGGGTATGGGGCAGAGAGGCAAATCGGTTCCATGAACATGGCAACGATCATTGCTGGCCAACTTCCAAGCATTAAAGTGTTTCCTTAGTCTCAAATAATGAAAACAGGACTGCACAAATACAGATTGGTTTTAAATTTTGATAAAAATCAAGGATGTTGAATTTTTTTTTTGTCTTTTTTTTTTTTTTTTGAGACAGGGTCTCCCTGTAGTCCCAGTTGACCTGAACCCACTATGTAGACCAGGCTGGCCTTGAACTCACAAAGATCCGCCTGCCTCTGCCTCCCAAGTGCTGGGACTAAAGGCATGTGCCACCATGCCTGGCAGATGTTGAATTTTTAACTTTAAGTCTTGTGGAGTTTTATGTAGTGATATTATTTTTACGCTATAATAAACAACGAATTTGGTCTGTGAAATCATACAAATCCATCTGTACAGGTCCTGTGCTATTAAGGACCCACCAATTTCCAACACTTAAATCTGGAACTCAAGTTGAGCCCATGTGATGCTGCTGAGCACATACAGTGACTATTAACTTTGTCCCCTATGTTGATTTGCTTGGCAAGCTCCCTAAGCCTCAAATGAAAACAGCTCTCAAGCATCTGATTTTTAGATTTTAAGTTAGACTTTAAAAGTACTAACTTTAATCAGCAATTATTTCTGGTTTCTAAACTCTGGAGTAAACTGCCTTCTGATTACATTAACTTGAAGTTATAAACAGTCCTAGTTAGAATTAATTGTCAACTTGACAGAGTCTAGAATCACCAGAGTCTCAATTATCTTTATCAGGTTGGTCTGAACACATGCCTGTGAGGGATTGTCTGAACCATTCATTGATGTGGAGAGGGGCCAGCCACTGCAGGGGGCACCATTCCTTGGGAAAGTAGTCTGGGGCTGTACAAGGAAGTCTGCTGAGCTGGAACCTGACAGGAAGCCAAGCTCCTGCTTAAGTTCCTGCCCTGACTCCCCTCAGTGATGGACTGTGTCTGGAAGTGTGAGCCAAACAAACCCTTCCTCTGAGCTGCTTCTGGTCATGGTGTTTGTTATAGCAACAGAATGAAACAAACATTCCATTACAAACTGAAAGCAGAGAGAAACGTACCTTGCCAATGTTAGTATTGTCCAGTGCTGCATCCACTTCATCTAAAACAAAGAATGGAGCAGGCCGAAAACTAGAAAAAAAAATACAAGCACATAAGCAACAACGTTCTATTTGTTTTAGGAAAGACTTAGAGGCAAGGATTAACAGTACCTAGAATAAGTAAGACAGATCTTTTTAGAAACTTTGGCAAACAGGCTGGAGAGCTGGATCAGCAGATAAGAATACTGTCAGCTCTTGCAGAGGCCCAGGGTTTGATTCCCAGCACCCACACGGCAGCTAAGAAGCATCCGTAATTCCAAATCCAGGTGGTCTAATGCCCACCACTAGTCTCCATGGGCACTACATGCACAGGTGCCTTCATATACACACAAGCAAAACAGACATAAAATAAATTTTTAATTAAAAAATCTGCCAGGTGTGGTGGTACATGCCTCTAATTCTAGCACTCAGAGGCGGACAGATCTTTGTGAGTTTGAGGCTAGTCAGGTCTACATAGCGAGCTCCAGGACAGCTTGGGCTACAGGGAGACTGTCCCCCACCAAAAAGAAAGAAAAAAAGAAAAAAGAAAGAAAGAAATGGTCAGCAGTGACCTTGAGCTATACCCAGTGACTCCCTGAAGCACCGGCACCAGATCTCTCTACCCACTGCTACCTACTGTGCTACTAATTCTTCATCTCAATACTCATTTCTGAACATTACAGAGCTCTAGAGGTTTGGTGCCAGGAGCCCTCCTCTATCTAGCTCCCTTTTTGTTTCCAAAGGTTTTTTTGTTTTGTTTTTTGGTCTTTTTTTGAGACAGGGTCTCCTTGTAGCCCCAGCTGTCCTGGAACTCACTATGTAGACCAGGCTGGCCTTGAACTCACAAAGATCCGCCTGCCTCTGCCTCCCAAGTGCTAGGATTAAAGGCGTGCGCCACCACGCCCGGTGCAAAGTTTTAATAACATTAAATCTGGCTGGCCCTCAGGATATAGCTCAGTGTTGGGTGCTTGCCTAATACAAACAAGGCCATGAATTCTATCCTCACTAGGGGAATGGGGGCTATTTTCCTTTTCTTTTGGACAGGCATGGGGGCATATACTGTAATTCCAGCACTCAAAAGGATGAAGTAGGGGCTGGAGAGATGGTTCAGCAGCAAATAGCACTTGCTGTTCTCGCAGAGGACCCGGGTTCAGTTCCCAGCACCCACATGGTGACTAACAACCATCTGTAACTCCAGTTTCAGGGGATCCAATACCTTCTTCTGACCTCTGTGGGCACTGCACAACACAGGTGCACTTACATAAATGCAGGCAATAAACTTGTACATATAAAATAAATTTAAAAAAATTTTTTTAAAGTAAAAAAAGGATAAAGCAAAAAGGATTATGCATTAAGAGGCCAACCAGAGGGGCTGGAGAGATGGCTCAGCAGTTAAGAACACTGGCTGTTCTTGCAGAAGACCTGGGTTTGAATCCCAGCACCCACATGGCAGCTAACAACTGTCTGTAACTCCAGTTCCAGGGGATCCAACAGCCTCTTTTGTCGTCCGAGGGCATTGCATGACACAGGTGCACTTACGTACACGCAGGCAATACACACATACACATAAAATAAAAATTGAAAAAAAGAGGCCAACCAGAGCTACATGATGACAGCCTGTATCAAAATAAACAAAAGCAAAGCCTGGTGGCTTTCACTCACTTTCTCTGGCAGTTTTGAGCTCTCACTGTGTCTTCATGGATGAGTCACATCGGCATCTAGCAAACATCTCCCCTCTGTCCACCTGCTCCCTTCTCCTGTGGTCTTCTCCAGGTCAGTTAGTGGCAGCAATTTTCATTCTGGCCATTTAGGCCAAACCCATGGAGTAACCACTGACTCCTTCACACCCTAGACCTGTTAGCAACCTTTGGCTTTCATACTGATCCAAGGACCACTACCTTCCATCTTGGTGTTACAACAGCTTCCTAACCCTGTCCCTAAGTATCGCTGCTACACAGAGTACTCTTGACACACGTCAGGCCCATTCTGGCCTCAGGCCTTTGTACTTGCTGTCCCTCATGTCTAGAGCACTCCTGCCTTAGCTAGCCTGTAACTTGTTCCCTTAATTCTAATCTTTGCTTAACTGTTACCCTCTCAAACACACCTTCCTTGATGACTGTAAAGCACTTCTGGGTCACCAATATCTCCCTTTTTTTTCCCTCTCTTATCGAATTTCTCAGTTTCATATATTCTCTGTATTAGAGAATTAGTTTACAAATAATGCCTATCAATCTTTGCCAATAAAAAGACCTGTGGCCCAAACTGGTACTAGAAATGAGCCTAGGGTCTCACACACATGAGACTTGTGCTCTACTGCTAATCTATGAGCCCAGCAAAAAGGAAGCATCTTTGAGAAAAGCAGCTTGTTTTGTTTATGGGAATCTCCAGAGAGCCTGCCACAGTACCAGGCAGAGTAACTAGTAGACATCTGCTGAGCGAAGGGATGGAGCGCCACCTAGTGACAGTCTTATTCTGAGCCACTCCTATGCTGGAGTCCCTCCCTGCCATGGCTTTCCTTCTCTTTTCCTTTTAGGTAGGGCCCATTCCATGTCTTTGAGAACAGCGGTCAAGGTCAAGCTCTGTGTTCTTGTGTCCCTGTCTCTGGTGATGGGAGGAGAGAGGCACCTAGGCTTTTACGGCCTACTGTGAATGCTGAAAGCTGCTGTTTCTTAATTTTACCCAACTCTTTGTTTCTTCTTGATTCTTTTTTTTGGTCTTTTGGAAACAGGGTCTCCCTGTAGCCCTAGCTGGCCTGGAACTCACAGAGCTCCATCTGCCTCTGTCTCCCGAGTGATGGGATTAAGAGTTCGCACCACCACACCTGGCTTTGTTTCTTGATTTCTATTTCAAGGAAAACAGTAGTTTTCAGTAGTTATATCATCTGTGGAAAAGATGTTAATTACTTTTTTTTTTTTTAGAAAAAGAAATATTTTGCTTTTAGCATTCACTAAACTACAGATCTCTGAATATGGCTTAGGAAAAGAATATGTAAGTTAGGGTTATGTTTGTCATTTTTGTTTTTCAGTAATCTTATGTCCTACTGGCCATTCCAAATACTTTCCTCTTCTATAAAGCTAGAAAAACCATGAGTTATTGATAAATTTTGTCAAAGACTGAGCTCTAGATATGCTAAGCTCCTGCAGGCCTAAAACAAATCTGAACTGTATGGCTGAAAATACAGCTTTGGTAAATATTATTAAAGAAGTAATTATAGATTTTACTAATTATAGATGTAATTCATAGATTATAATGATAGAGATCTACTTGTTAGCTTGTGGCCTTACCTGTGTACAGCAAACAGCAGAGCCAAAGCTGCCACACATTTTTCTCCCCCTGACAGATTGTCCATTGGCATAAACCGTTTTCCTGGAGCTACACAATTATAGCTAATCCCATCTAAGTAGGGTTCTTCAGGGTTCTCTGGGCTAAGAAATGCCTGAAACACATGTTATTTATTTATCCATATCAGTAATGTAACCAGTACCTTCAAGTTGGGTGGCAACATATTTAAATGTGAAATATTCTATTGGTTAAATTTCCTCAATTTTGAAGGGAAAATACCAATACTTGCAAATACATTTAAATTAATCTACACTGCATTTAACCATAGGCATTACAGTTGTCTGGGTCGAGGGGAAAGAGAGAACATTCTACCTAAGGATCAGGCCTTTTTACCACAGAGCCAGTCAAACCTCGGTAGCACCTGTCACAGATTTACAAAAACAGCCTCCCTCCATTCACTTATTGGTCCATCCACCTCATACTCAGTACTCACTGTGGGCTACACTGCAGATAAAAGTATGAATTCTCTTCTCAACAAGTTACTGAACTTACTATCATCTTATTTTACTGAAATTCTAAAGTCTGGATTCAGGATCATCCCAGTTCATAGCATGAACCCAAAGCCGAGCAGTCACATACACCCCAACCTACATCTTTATTTGACAAGTATTTGCTGTGGTTACTGATAAAAGAATGGGGGTGGTTACTGCCAAGAGACTCATTCAAAGGTCCATTACCTAGATTTGATCAATACCACAGATCAACTATTTCCTTTACATTGACCCCACCTTCACCACAGAGCTCAACAGTTCCATAAATTCAAACAGAATTTCAGTACTTGACGAGAACTTAGAAAGCAAATGAGTTAAACCCACTAATTTTCAAGTGGAGAAACAGGTCCTGACTTGTCTGGACTGACTTGGCACCTGTCACTCAAGGAGTATTTAGTGGTCTTTTACTTCTCACCATAAAACAAACAATCTCCAAACACCAATTGTACAAAATCCCCTCTAGTATCTGGAGTGAAAAATACATACTTGGGCACTGTTGTTTCTGCAGAGCTTCTTGTAGATTTGATCAATTGAGATTGAGATGTGCTCAAAACACCGGCTGAAAAGATCGTACCTCCGTTTTTTCACTTGTTCAAACTCTTGCCTACATATTCTGGCTTCCTTTCTGCTGGCCTCAAAAGCTAACAGAGAATAAATGTTCTTTACTGGGACACCATCAAGAGGCTCTCTTCAAATTTTACATGTGAAATATTTTTAGAACTTAAGAGTTTGATTGTCTTGAATAAATCTACTTTCAAAACACCTAAACTGTTTGTTACTAATCCCAAGAGCATACCTCTGAAAATTGATGAACTTTTTTTCTGGCAGAGCTAATTTCTAAATAATGCTAAATAATGCTAGCAAGTTCTGATAGTGTATTTTATATATACATATATATATATATTTGCCTGTATGAAAAAAACCTAAATATGTGTCCTAAAATAACTGAAGAACCTGCAGAGTTTCATACAGCCTAGGCTGGCCTTGAATTCACTAGCTCCATGCATTTTAGCACCCCTCCAACAGAGTTACCTTCCCAATTCCCAACAGACCTACTAAGTTAAAGTAGACGCCTTATAAAGGAAGAACATCATGATTCAGTATTAAAAGCGCATGTTAGTATATAAGGTAACAGAGAAAAAGACATGATTAACAAAAGGAAGGTACGATTCCTGGAAATTACTGGCACTTACTATAGAAATCAAAACACCCATGAATTCAACCTTGGTAACAACTATAAGCTCAATTTTACCGTCTGTGGACTCCTGAAACTTTTCTCTAACAGCCTTTAAGTTCTCCAGTGCTCGTAGGTTTGGGGCTGCTGTCTTCAGAAGAACATTTTCCTGGGATGCTACTTGCTGCAGAAGGAGTGTAAGGTGGGCATCCACCTCCTTATCTGATGGTAGACCCTATTATTAGCAAAGAACAGCACGGACTGGCATGTTTTTAACACCCAAAGCTAAGGCATAAGTACAAGACTGCTATCATATTTAAACAGTTTATTTACATTTATTTATTGTGTGCATGTGGGGGGCATGTGTGCCATGATATGTGTGTGGAGATCAGAGGAGAGTTTTGCAGGAGTCAAGTCTCTCCTTTTATCATGTGGGACCCTGGAAGCAAACTCATGTCATCAGCCTTGGCAGCAAGTGCCTTTACCACTAAGCCATCTTGCCAGCCCAAGACTGCCACCATCTTTAGTTTTGTTTATTTGGTTTCTCAAGCCAGGGTCTTGCTATACAGCCATGGCTGGTCTGTTACTATGTAGGCTGGGCTGGCCTCAAACTTGCAGCAATCCTCCTGCCTCAGCTTCCCAAGTGCTGAGATTACAGGTATGTGCCACCACACCTGGCAAGAACCTTACCTGACCCCACCAACAGCATCTGCATCTCCTTCCTCCCTTGGGAAGCTGTTTTGTGTCTGGAGCTGCAGTCATGCAGGCAGTGTCTACAGCCACCATATCAGCTGGGCCTTTTGTGGCTTCAGTACTGTATTATGCTGCTCTGGGAACATTCTTTATTGCCTTAGTTTATAATCATGCCCCCAAAATATGAAAATTCATTTATTACCTGTTTGTTAATTAAAAACAATGTTGGGGGTGGAGAGAGAGCTCAGCTCAGCAGTTAAGAGCTCTGGTTTCTCTTATAGAGGACCAGGGTCCATTCCCAGCACCCACATGGGGGCTAATAACCTTATGTAACTCCAGTTCCAGGGGATCCAACATCCTCTTCTGGCCTCTGTGGGCATTGCATGCATGTGGTACACTTACATAAATGCAAGCAAAACACTCATAAAATAAATATAAATAAAAATTATAAGCAATACTGGTCTTATACTATGGGTTAGACACTAAAGGTTCAATGATGAAAACTAATTCAGCCTGCCTTAAAAGGACGAACACAGACACCACAGGTAGAGAGAGGCTCCAGTCACCTAAAGGGAGTAATATTCTGAGAGCCAATGAATAAGGAGGGAAGGAAGAAAGCATAGCTACACCCTTCCAGGAAAATCTTGACTCCAAAAGGGGGTTAATTAATGCATAACAAATGTAATACTTAATTCACTGAGAAGATGATTATTTGAAAACTGAGTTAAACTGCCAATTTGGGTGACTTAAACAAATACATGGTTAAATCATACCATACAGTAGAAGAGATTTCAGGTTATTAAGCAGGCTAATGATCTGGTAGTATGGCCCAGTTGGTAGCCAGGCTCATTCACCAGTACTAGTACACTGAGCATGGTGGCATGGGCCTTTAATCTCAGCATTTGGGAGGTGGAGGCAGGAGTATGAGAAGGCCAGGTGTGGTGGTGCACACCTTTAATCCCACCACTAGGGAGGCAGAGGCAGGCAGACCTCTGTGAGTTCAAGGCTAGCCTGGGTCTACATAATGAGTTTCAGGACAGCTGGGGCTACAGGAAGACCTTGTCTCAAAAAGACAAAAAAATAAAAAAATAAAAAAGAAGAAGCTCCAGGTTATTCTCAGCTACATAGTAAGTTTGAGGCCAGCCTGGGCTATAGGAGACCCTGTCTCAAAGAACAACAAAACAAAATGATACCCCCAGAAAATTGTAACATAAAATTATTTACTGGATAATGAGGTAACAAGGGACTTTTTTAAACTAGAGAGAAAAGTTGTTCCGTACCAAACATTCTAATTAAAAAAGTCCAACGAACCTCACAGATGCCCTAAGATGTGAAATGTTATCCTCCCTTTCTTCTCAACACATCCCAACCCTTCCTTCCGGTGGAGCCCATGTGTTGAGGGCTTCAAGGAGTGGCCATGCCTGACTCAGAGGGAGGCTAAGTTTACCCCCTAGTGACTGCCTTAGGAATGAACACGTGACCTAGACCACTGTAACAAGGGGACCATGCCTTAGGCCTTTTAGGTATACCTTCAAGTCTAGAACAGCACTACCCTAAAAGGCAGGCTCCCTTCCCTGAAGATGCCGGTGGTGTGGCTAGGTAGCCCAGATGGCCACAGTCACTGTGTCCTCATGAGAAGCAGGCTCAGGAAGTAGACAGAAGCATATTGCTTCAGGGATGGCAGAGACACAGCCAGAGTTCTTAATGTAGAGAGCCAGGAATGGCAGCTGATGCTGTGCCTGCAGCTGTGGAGGACCTGTTACCCTCCTGTATGTTATGCTAAGGAATCTGGGCGCACTCCAGAGACTGCATTAAGATACCAGCAGAGGAGTAAGGGTGTTAGAGTAAGCACCACTTTTGTCTTCTGAAGTACTTTGTAAAGTTTTGTGTTCATACTGAACCTACTTGAAAGGAAAGGACTTAAACTTTTCTCTGGCTAGACATTTCATGGCTTGACCTTGATCCTGTGCTGAAGAATTGGCAGGAGAGGACATATTCTAAAGATGGACACTTGTAACCTGCCTCAGCTGCCAAGACTGAAACCTTAGTTCATCTGCGGAATCTGTATTCAACAGGTGAGTAGAATGCAGGGACGGGAGCTGAAGCCTACCTCCAGATATATCAAAGGAAAGGACCCAGGGACAAGGAACTCTGTCAGACCCCTCCTAGTACTCAAGGGAGAGTACTAGTACTCAAGGAGAACCTTGAGGTCAAGGTCAGCTGAGTTACTTAGAGCAAGACTGTCACAAAAAAAGAAAAAAAGTTACCTATCTACTGATATTTTGTGATACTGAGATATAATCACTAGGTACTTGGCCTCATCCTCTTTCTAGGCTTGGAATTCCTGACACCTTTGGCATTTCCTGAGTGATGGGTGACAGCAAAACCTTCTGTTACTCACAGTGTTTCTTTCCACTGTTCTTGTGTTAACTTAAGAACTTACTCTCATAGGTGGGAACTGATTGCTGGAGGAATCCCTGTGATTAGAACTTTCTAATATTTGAAATATTGAGACCCACATATTGAAATATTGAGACCCACATATTTGGTGTTGGAAGCACTTGCCTATACAGGATTTTTTTTTTTTTTTGGTGGGGGGATCTTGTTTCTGAACATGTATTTGTGTGTGTGTGCACACATGAATATGATGTGTAGGCACATGTGGAGGCCAGAGGCTGATGCTGGGTGTCTTCTTTAGCTTCTTTCCTCCTCATTTTTGAGAGGGTTGCTCACTGAATCTGGTTCATAGACTTGGCTAGGCTGGCTGTCTAGCAGGCTTCAGGGATCTGCCTGTCTCTGTCTCCCAAGTGCTGGGATTATAGACAGCTGCCACCCTCAGTTTTCACATGGGTGCTGGGATCCAAATTCAGGTCACCAAGCTTAAGCAAGCCTTCACTGACTGAGGCATCTCCCCAGCCCATTTTGTTTTTTGTTTTTTGGAGACAGGGTTTCATGTATTACAACCTGACTTTGAGCTCTAGATCCTTCTGCCTCCACCTTCCAAATGCTGAGATTGCAAGTATTTGCTACCATCCCAGCCCAGAAGTTTTTCCTTTGAAAAAAATTTTAAAAATTCATTAGATCTACTACTACTACTACTACTACTACTACTACTATTACTACTACTATTACTATTACTACTACTACTACTACAGGGAGACTGTGTCTCAAAAAGACAAAAAAAAATCATTAGATCTACTTAATGCATACCATAAACTTAACGATATAAAATGATTCTGTAGTATTAAAAAGCCAATATTACAAGAGAAGTCTACCTTCAAATCCTCCCTGAGAGGGCTGTAGTCTACTTCAATGGAAGCTTCTTTTTCGTAGATATCCATTGTTGCCTGGGTACTTTCTGTTTCAGTTCCCAACTGAAAAACATGAAACACAGTGACCTTTCCCTTATCTGTTGCTCCTCCAGTCACCGGTTACCTCATTCAGATGAAAAGCCAACACTGTTACAGTAGTTCTCTCTTGACTTCATCATGCACGTGTGTCCTGTGCTCACTTTGCTGCACACACACAGCCTCCCCAACACAGCGGGAGTGAGCCACTCTCAGGACTGACATACTGCCCTCTACCTGTGCAGCTTCCCTCCTATCTGTGGCTGTAGGCGCCCCCTCCCCATCAATGCTCAATAGTCTGTTTCCTTTTATTGTTTCAGCACATATCAATATTTGACACAAAAATATGTTATGTGTCCCTTGTATATTGGTCTCTAAGCCACTAGAAGTTGAAGAGAGGATTTGGCATGCTGCATTCAATTCTCAGTGCCTGGTTCAATGACTGGTTCATGGCTCAATTTCAATACACAGTACACCCTCAAGACGAAAGGACTAAAAGAGGAGGAACCGTGCCAGGGCTGTAGCTTGGTTGGCAGAATGCTTTCCTATCCCTAGCACCAAGCATGGTGGTGCATACCTATCATCCCAGCACTTGGGAGGTGGAGGAAGGAGGGTCAGGAGTTCCATGTCATACACTACATAGTGAGTTCCAGGCCAGCCTGGTCTACATAAGAACCTGTCTCAAAAAAAAAAAATTTAAAAAGAGGAGCAAGCCAAGCACGGTGGTGCATGCCTTTAATCCCAGCACTTGGGAGGCAGAGGCAGGGAGATCTCTGTGAGTTCAAGGCCAGCCTGGTCTATATAGCGAGTTCCAGGACAGCTGGGGCTACAGGGAGACCCTGTCTTAAAAAAAAGACGCCCCCCCCCAAAAAAAAGAGGGGCAAATGATTGTTTATTCAACTGTTGTTTGGCTGCTGGAATAATATTGATCAAAACCAAAACTTACAGAAAGGAAAAAAAAAAAAACCCACTTTATTCAGGCTGGAGATGTGGCTCAGCAGTTAAGAGCACTGGCTGCTCTTGCAGAGGACCCAGGTTCAGTTCCCAGGACCCACACAGTAGCTAATAACTATCATTAACTCCAGTTCCAGGGGATCTGACATCCTCTTCTGATGTCCACAGGCACTGCATGCACAAGTGCACTCATGCAAGCAAAACACTCATACACATAAAATTTAAAAAGCTTTATTCTTCATTTTGTAGATGTCTCAGCTAAACTCAGTGAAACTACTTTTTTCATCAAGTATATGTTTTACATAACACATGTATTAAAACAGCTCAAATCAAATTGAATATATAATGTACAGAAGCTCTACATCTCATGATGGGCTTCCATGTCTTCACTTACATTAAATGTATGCATGGCAGGGCACAGTGATGCACACCTGTACCTCAGGGCAGGAGGCAGGCAGACTGAGGCCAGCTTGGGATACACAGTGGAGACCCTGCTCACAGAGAAAGAGAAAGAGGGAAGGGGACAAGAAAGAAGGTTAGCTTCCCTACCAGGCTAATCTGACTCTGTAGCTTCTTTCCCACACCCAACTTAGCATCTCCTTGAGACCCGAAAGAATGAGTGTGACTCACAGGACAACTTTTCTTCTATTTGAGGAACAGTCGAAAGGCTTATAGCTCTGGTTCCAGGGGACCAGACGCCCTCTTCCGCACTCATATGCACACATCCACACACATAATTAAAAGTAAATTTAAAAAAAAATATATATATATATTGGTCTTTTTGAGACAGGGTCTCCCTGTAGCCCCAGCTGTCCTGGATTCACCATATAGACCAGGCTGGCCTTGAACTCACAGAAGTCCGCCTGCCTCTGCCTCCCGAGTGCTGGGATTAAAGGTGTGCGCCACCATGCCCACATAAATAAATATTTTAAAGTAAATGCAGGGGAAAAAAATGAAGGGACTAGGGAGGGAGTTGTTGGCAGACTGCTTGCCTAGCATACATGAAACTCTGGGCCTGATTACCAGCACTACATAAATAGGCATGGTAGCATGGTAGTTACTACACTATCCATGTAATCCCAGTGGAGGCAAGTAGAGGCAGGAAGATCAGAAAGTTCAAGGCCATCCTTAACTACATAGCAAGTTTTAGACTATCCTAGAATACATGAGAACCTCACCCCTCAAAATAAAAGATGTATTATCCCAGTGTGGCTTGACCTACACGATATGGAGAAATATTTTTTTAGTCTTTTTGAGACAGGGGCTCCCACAGCTGGCCTGGATTCCCTATGGAGACCAGGCTAGCCTCAAGAAAGACTTTAGTTTTTATCAGTTTTATGGCCACAGTAGTACAGAGATTTCCAGTGTATCCTTCTCTCAATGTGAACACTCTGTACTGACAATGGTCCCCTACTGGAATAGAACATTTGTTATAATCAATGCAGCTACAGTGTCACATCAGTCAGTCAAAGTCCACATTACATTAGGACTTACCCTTGGTGTTATACAAGCTACAGGTTTATACACATGTATGACAACATATGTTCATCATAGTACGATGCAGAACAGCCTCACTACCTTTAACACTTCTTCATGCTCTACCTGTTCTGTAACTCCTGGTAATAACTGACCTTTGACTGTGTCTATAGTTTTGCCTTTCCTAGAATGTCATATAGCTGGGATCAAACATTATATAGTTTCCAGATTTGCTTTTACTTATTGTTGTGCATTTAATTTACATCTTTTCTGGTTTCATAGTTCCCTTTTCTCTAGTATTGGATAACATTGCATGGTCTGAATGTACCAGTTTATCTGTTCACCCACTCAAGTATACTTAGTCATTTTAAGTTTGGGGAATTATGACTAAAAGCAGCTATAAACATCCGTGTACAGTTTTTTGTGTGAACACAAGTTTTCAAGTCTTTTCAGCAAATACAAGATAGTGCGACTGTTGGATCATATGGTAAGAATGTTTAATTTTATAGGCAACTTCCAAAACGTTATCATTTTACATTTCTGCCAGCAATGGAAGACAGCCCCTGTTGTTCTATGTCCTTACATTAGTATCATCAGAGTTCTGGATTTTGACGTATAGTTGTTTAGTACTATTGCATTTTAATTTCCCTGAGAACTATGAAACAGAATATCTATTTGTCATCTATGTCTTCTTTATATACAGCGATGTCTCCATTTAGGTCTTACTAAATGGCCCATATTGTGGATCAGTTCTTGAATTTTGTTTCAGGGGCTAGAGATATAGTTCAGAAGTTCAGAGCACTGGCTACTCTTGTAGAGAAGCTGAGTTCAATTCCCAGCACCCACATGGCGGCTAACAACCTTAATATAACTCCAGTTCCAGGGGATCCGATATCCTCTTCTGGCCTCTGCAGGCTTTGCATAACATGGGTGTACTTACATACATGCAGGCAAAAACACTCATACACATAAAACAAAAATAAATTTAAATTTTGTTTTGTCAATGATCAAAATATTAGGTTTCATTATGATGTACACATATCAATATTTGTGTTCATGCTCGTTCTTCCTATAACCCTCTTTCCTCCTCCAACTCCACTGATTATCCCTCTTCCTTTATGTGGAATAGCCCCTATTATGTCATACATAATGTCATACATACATGTACATATATTCAACGTGCGAGCAAATGCCATGATATTTGTCTTCACATTACTCTTGCTTGCTTCCTGCTCTCCCTTTAGACCCCTGCTCTCCCTCATGTAGCCCTTCTTCATCAGACACATGATGCATATAAGAGAAGATATGACCTTTGTCTGGGTCTGGCTTATTTTGCTTAATGTCCTGATCTCAAGTTCCACCTATTTGCCTTCAAATGACATACCATTCTTCCCAACTGGATAAAACTTTATTGTGTGTATACACATTTTCTTTATCCACTCATCTGTTGATGGGAATCTAAGACTGTTTCCTTATATGAATAGTGCTAGTAAACACGGATGTGCACGTTCATCCGTGGCATGCTGATTTAAAGTCCCCAGGGCATATCCGTGGTAGTAGTGTTATCTGACCATATGGTTGTTCTATTTTTGCTCTGGGAGGAACCTGCACACTGATCTCCATAATGGCTGTACTGGTTTACATTCCCACCAGCACCATATAAAGGGTCCCTATATCACCAGTATTTGCTGTCCTTTATTTTATTGACTAAAGTATCTGTTCTGACTAAAGTATCAATTCTTGTAATTACCTGAGCTATTGGAATCCTTTTCAGAGTCCATGCCTCTGTCTCCTCTCCAAGCTTAAAAGTTGGAGGTCTCACATTAAGGTGTTTGAGTCTGAATTAATTTTTCTACAGTGATAGGGAAGTAGTTTCATTTTTCTACATGTGGACATCTAGCTTTCCCAGCACTCTGTTAAAGATGTCTTTTCTCCAATGTACGTTTTTTAGCTCCTTTGCTAAGTCAGGTAGCTGAAGCCACATAAGGCCCTCTGGTCTGTGTGTCTGCTTCTTTGTCAGCACTATGCTGTGTTATTACTATGGCTCTGTAGGGTTTTTCAGACCAGGCTTGCTCTTCCTACTTAGGATTGCTTTGGTTATTCAAAGTCTTTTATGCTTCCATATGAATTTTAGGATTTTTTTTCTAGATCTGTGAGGAATGTCATTGGAATTCTGATGGGAGGTATACTGAATCTGTACATCACTTTCAGTACTGTGGTCATTTTCAAAATATTAATTCTTCTGATCTATGAGCATGACAGGTCTTTCCATTTTCTGTCTTAATCGATTACTTTCTTTAGTTTCTTTTTCCCCCCCTTTGGTCTTTTTGAGATAGGGTCTCCCTGTAGCCCCAGCTGGCCTGGAACTCACTATGTAGACCAGGCTGGCCTCGAACTCAGAGAGATCCCCCTGCCTCTGCCTCCCAAGTGCTGAGATTAAAGGCGTGCGCCACCACGCCCGGCTTTCTTTAGTATTTTAAAGTTTTCATTGTAGAAGTTTTCTGCCTTTTTGGTTATGTTAATTCCTAGGTATTTAATTAATTTTTTTTTTTGGCCTTTTTGAGACAGGGTCTCCCTGTAGCCCCAGCTGACCTGGA